TTGGAGAATTTCTGAGTCGCTGTGATTCCCTGCAGCTCCTCATCTAGCCTGCATCTAGTATCAAGCAAGAATCTTTGTGAAACAATACTGTGTTAGCACAACTGAGAGGCATATAGATGCTGCATTCAAGCTGAAAAGATTCTGCTAAATGTAAATGGGTGAAATAAGGGGGATTGTAATGCCAAAATAGCAATTTAAACGTTTATTCAGGCTTATGATTTTTATTTGCAAAATAAAACACCTTCACCTGGACAGTGTGGGTGGCAGGTAGGACATAACACTTAGAATCATTTAGACACAAATAGGAAGCAGGAAATGAAGACAGATCTGGGAAAGGAATTGATTTTAAGCAGAAAACAATTTGAAACAAAATTTGTAAGGTAATGAGAAGTTAGTGGACAATGTCCCTTTAGCTTATTTAAATATGAGCAGTGTTTTTTGCTGTATATTCTTGATTTCCCCCCAAAAAATTTTTAATGCAGCCAAGTGTCTCACACTTATATCTTAGCTTAGATGCAATTTTCTGCTCTACTGAGTTTATCTACACCTCTTTGTTGGCAGCAAAACGAATTTCCCTTTTTTTCTACTGAAAATACATTCATTCACTCTAGTAAATTAAACATTTTTTTCTTTTTTTTATTAGAGGCTTTCTTGAGTTTAAGCAGTTTTCCCTTTTAAATATTTTGTGATTATAAAAATAAACATCATTAACACTTTATTTAAAATTATCATTTTTTTCTGGGATGCCTCGGTGGCTCAGTCAGTTAAACGTCTGATGCCGGCTAAGGTCATGATCTCACAGTTTGTGGGTTCGAGCCCCGCATCAGGCTCTGTGCTGATAGAGCCTGGAGCCTGTTTTGGATTCTGTGTCTCCCTCTCTCGCTGCTCCTCCCCCACTCATACTTTGTCTCTCTCTCTCTCTCTCTCTCTCTCTCTCTGAAAAATAAAAATTAAAAAAATTTTTTAATAAAATTATCATTTTGTCTGAAATAATTTCCAAAGGAATATAATGTAAAATTTAAAATATGTATATATCATGCCTGGAACAAAACATTTTGGAAAAAATAACATTGGGATGCCTGGGTGGCTCAGTCGGTTAAGCCTTCTGACTTCGGCTCAGGTCATGGTCTCGCGGTTTGAGTTAGAGCCCCACATCGGGCTCTGTGCTAACAGCTTCAGATTCTTTGTCTCCTCCTCTCTCTGCCCCTCCCATGCTCATGCTCTGTCTGTTTTTTTAATTGCAAAAAATTTTTTAAGTTGTAATAAACTACTTTAGAACAACCACCTTATTAATGAAAACTCGTTCTGCCCCTTGTGCCTCCCACTTTGGGTTGCTATTAGTTAGAGAAAAAGGACCCAATTGAACCCCTTGGATGTTAAGAAGGATTAGGCCTCCCATGTTTCTTTCTTTCTTTCTTTTTTTTGTTGAGACAGTTCCCAGTAAGCATGGAGATTATCAGGTAATCTGAGGATCCTTCCAGGCCTCAGCTTTCCTGTTTCCCAGTTGAATTCTTGCCTTTTGATTTAGTTGCCCCCATACTGTGGTGTGGAATCTGTTCAGAAAGCAGATGAATAGGAAACCCTAAATAAGTGTAGGAGAAAGGGTCCAGCTAAGCTAAAGTCCAAAGCAGCCAAATAGTCTGTTTCATTCAGTGTTTTGAAGATGGTAGTCCTTTCCAGTAGAGTCAATAATCAACAGGTGTTTGAAGATTAACTGAAGTCCTCCGGTGGGTTGTGTATGTATTTTAGAGAAGAGATGATTATTGCAGGTTTGCAAGTGTATTTAAATAAAAGGAAAACTGGTGTTTCTTCCTCCTCTTTTAATTGCCATCAACAAGTGGAGTCATTTTGTCTGGCACTTCTCTTATATGAAGTGTTTGGAGAGTGTTCAGGTGTCTCCAGATGAAAGGCACTCATTTCACACACTCAGCCTGGTGGGTACCCAGAATTGCTTCACAGCCCATGACTTAAGTTCTGAGATCCCAGGTTTCTTTCTCTCTCTCTGTCCCCTTCTCTCCCAACTTTCTTCCCTTCCCTTCCCTTCCCTTCCCTTCCCTTCCCTTCCCTTCCCTTCCCTCCCCTCCCCTCCCCTCCCCTCCCCTCCCACGACTTAAGTTCTGAGGTCCCAGGTTTCTTTCTCTCTGTCCCCTTCCCTCCCAACTTTCTTTCTTCCCTCCCCCCCTTCCTTCCCTTCCCTTCTGACTGCATCACCTGCCATTCAACTGCATCAAAACCTTCAGCCACTTGAACCCCCTCTCCTGAGTGGCAGCCCCTCCAGCCTCTCTGCCCTTTCCACCCAGCCCCAAGCACCTTCCCTGCCTTATTCTCATGCTCATCAGCCTGACCTCCAAGCCCTAAGGGTTGGGGTTGAGACCACCCAAGAAGTGAAGAGACCTTAGGTTGGAGGAAAGAGAGGGAGCCACCAAAGGAAAGATTTGAAAAGTTGCAGACACACCCCACATGCCATAAATCTAGCCAGGTGACTGTAACGGGCTGTAAGAAATGTCCAAGTCCTTTCAATGTGAGCTCCCAGAGAGGCACAGTGGGGAAGAGGAAGCAGGCTCCCTGGGTTTGAGCCCTGGCTGGGAGGAGTAGAGCTGTGATCCTGGGCCAGCTGTGCATGTTCTTTGGCTCACAGTTTCTTCACATTCTGTCCTGCTAAGGCTTTACCTTACAGTCTTCTGTTAATGCCCTTTCTGATGCTGTTAATAGAGATAAGTGCCATTATTGTCATCACCCCTCATCATCATCCTCGGGAACATAGGGAGAAGAGGACAATAATGTAACATTGGGGAAATGGCCCAAGTGACTCAGAGAGGGCATTTGTAACCCGAGGTCTCAGGGAGTTAGGGGAGACTGGGCTTTTAGGTGGTGTGTAATATAGGTAGAGTGCACACGCGCTTATTTGCTACACACAAAAAAAGGAAAAGCTCATGTGCCGACTACTCTAAGTATCGCGTCACAGAATGAAAGCTTATGGTTCTTTTTTGAAAGCAAAGTCATGAAAGACAAAATAACCAGAGTCTCTCAGACAACTGTGTAATTGCAAATTATTTTCCTATTAGAACATCAGTTTTAGTAAAGGGGGAAAAAGCTTAGGAAAACTTTGCAGTCGGTGCTAGAAGCTGTATATAAGGGGTTCCTTGAGGAAAGGTTTGGATCAGGGGATCATGTAGGTCTGTGGCTGGTGTCGTCCCCTGGTGGGCAGTCAGAGCTCAGCAGCCAAGTGTCTTGCAGGCAGGTTTCCAGCACCTACCTCGTAATTGCCCCATAGGGACCAGCAGGATGAAAGCCTTGATTAAATGCAAATGCTTTCCCTTTCTATTTATAGGAATCTTAAGCTGTTCTTTTGCCTCTTTTATGTCAGGTTATTTCAACAAGATAATTTTCATTTGGTTTATCCTCCATGTTTGTGATCCGACATGATTATTTGCAGGCTCTTTGATTCTTATCTGTGAAGATTCCCTAGTGCTCTGTCTTTGACCCTCTGATCTGAGTTTCTGAGTCATCCACTCACTGAGCTTCAGCTGCTGTCTTTATTGTAACTAATTCCCAAATCCCTTTCTCTGGAGGAGGCATTCAGGTTTTTTGCAACCAAAAGGAGGCTTTTCTTTGAGTATCTTCTGTCACTTCCCGTGCAGGTGAGGCTCAAACCAAATGTAACTTTCCCTTCCTCTGAAAATGTACCTTCATCCTAATTTCCGTATGTTCTTTTCATCAGTGATGCTTTCCACCCATTGAGTAGGGCCAGAAACTGCCATTTTCTAACCCATCCCTTTCCTCATTTCTGATACACAATCAGGCACTGGCTTTGAGACCGAAAAATCTACATTTTAACATCTAAATCTAAATCTTCTAATGTAGATAAAGCAGGCCACATACACTTTGCCAGGGATTGTTAAAAAGTAAACACATAAATATGAAAATTCCTTTGTTTCTGGGTATTTATTTCTTTCCTGCTCAGTGTTCTGGTCAACAAAACATAATGGACTGGTTAAGTTATAGAATAGTGTTAGCTTCTATCAAGCACGTTGAAGTGCAAAATATATAACTGCATTAATGTTATAATATTCTCTCCTCCCCCTCACTTATAAATTATGCCTTTTCACATCGAATACCATACAGATTCAGGTTCAAGTTGCCTTGTCAAATGCATGGAGTAATGCATGATGTTTAAGAAAAATTAATAAGTTGCATTGCCTCTGGACCTCCTTAGCCCTGACTCATGATCCATTCCTAATGGCACATATGTCTTTTTGTTTTTAATTTTCAGATGTAACATTTATTCATGAAGGAAATAAAACATTTTTGGATAATCTTGTCAATTTTGAAAAACTGGTACGTACATTTCATTATTTCTCCCTTTTCCCACTGTCAGGAAAGTGCATGCTTTTCCTTCTTGTTCTAAGAAACAAATGGTTTAAGTATTTTTCTCCTCTGAATACACGGTGGTTTCCAGGAGCCTATTTGCTGCACGTTCAGCATTGTCGATAAAATGTATTCCAGTGAAAAATAAGTGTGCTAGCAAGGTTTTGAGGACCAACTATGAAAGTCTGCTTTTTATTTTTGAAAATGGGACTTCATTCAATTAATATCAGTGGTTGTGTGTGTGTTACTAAACCGGAAATAAAACCTGTAAGGTTCTGTCACTAAGAGTTCACACTCAGGAGGTTAAGCTTTACTGCTTGAAAGGCATCGCTCTGTGTCTCAGTGTATACTGCTCCCAGGACCCAGGAAAAAGCTCTGCTTCTGGGGAGATGCGTTCATCTTCAGTGCTCCCCACTGGATGCGAAGGTGGAATTCGCAGGCTGTGCCTGAGAGGAAGCACCACCCCTCTGTCCGCCTGTGAAGCACAGTGGACTGTGGAGACAGCAGCTCAGACAGAGTGCACTCCCTGCTCTCAAGTGAAAGGTTCCCAATCAGTCCTCCCTTACGAGTTACTGAAATTCCCCTTCCTTAAGTATTTCTAAGACCTTCCCAGGTACTTCCTCCTATAGTGAGCTCCTCCTAGCCTTTCGGACTGGCCTAGGGCAGAGGGGGAGCTGCTGGGGAGAACTGAGCAAGTGTAAACGAGGAGTGCTCCAGAGAGGCCCCATGGACTGCAAGAATGGATCTGTCCCCAAATGAACTTGAGTGTCATAGATTAGACTGTCCTTCATGGTTAAAGATGATACCAGTGACCCCTGTCTGTAGATCCTGACCTTTGAGTGACCTTCTCAGTAATGGTAATGGATTTGTATGAACTCTTTCAGGAACTGACCCCCGGTTCCCTGTGAGACTGGGTCAGGCATGTGAGAGAAGGTTGAGTGAGGGGGGGGTTGCAGACCATGACCAAAGAACGGTACAAACTGATGAGTCCGAGCGGGGTTTGGCATCTGACCTTTGCCTCATAAGTGCCCGGCTGTAATCATCAGGTTAACTCACCACACATGGGGTGAGGTGACAGAGGACTCCGCTGTGCCACTTGAAAATCCAAGCACCTAGAATCTGGAAGAGAGACGTCTTGGGATATCCTGCCGTAGCTCTATTTTAATCAGTTGAGAATGACTGATTTGACTTCAAATCCTGGCCAGCACATCTGGTTAAGTTGTTTTTAAAGTGGATGTGCCTATACTCTTTAAATCCCCCTGTGCTAAGTGCTTTGGAACCAGAGCTCAGTTATTTAAAACAGTTTTAAGTTTATTTATTTATTTTGAGAGAGACAGAGACAGCACAAGCAGGGGAGGGGCAGAGAGAGTGGGAGAGAGAGAATCCTAAACATGCTCTGTGCTGCCAGCACAGAGCCTGACACGGGGCTGGAACTCACAAAACTGTGAGATCATATCCTGACCTGAGCCAAAACCAAGAGTCAGACACTCAACTGACTGAGCCAAGCAGGCTTTCCAGAGCTCAGTTATTTTAGATGCTACAGTCAAACCAGCACAGCCAGAAGTAGATATTCAGAGTGAGGTTTTTTTGTACGTACTCTTTAGAGACTTGTTCTGTATCACTGTGTCATGTTCTATTTTTTTAAAGATAATTGTAATTTTTTTTAATGTTTATTTATTTTTGAGACAGAGACCAAGTGTGAGCTGGGACAGGGCAGAGAGAGGGAGACACAGAATCTGAAGCAGGCTCCAGGCTCTGAGCTGTCAGCACAGAGCCTGATGTGGGATTCCAACTCACAAACCACGAATCATGACCTGAGCCAAAATCAGACGCTCAACTGACTGAGCCACCCAGGCAGGTGCCCCTCACTGTGTCATGTTCTGAAGATCCCAGGGTACCTGCTTGCAACCAAAGACTATAGGCACTAACATTCTAGACTTTATGTAGGTTAATCTCCAGTGTTGGATATTAATGAAATGATTTCAGGCAGATGAAGCCTTTGGTCAGTATCTACTTCAAATCCCAGCCAGCACATCTGGTTAAGAATGCCTAACAAGCTTTGGAGAGCATGTGTGGAGATGCGGGAGGAGGGGTGTCACTCTGAGTAGAATTCAGCACAAAGGTCTAGTGAGTTACCCTCTGACTAACTTAGACGGAACACGGGAGAACAGTTGTGCTCGTTATAAAGCTGACTGTTGTCTGTTGTTAAGAGCAGGCCAGCAGTTGACCTTCTCCCCCAGGTGAGCCAGTGGTTTGGTCAAGTTCCTTGTGTTACTGCCCCTCTGATAGTGCTACTGAAGTCAGAGAAAGATTCGATAAAGGCACAAATGGGAAAAAGCCATGGAAAGATCCCCACATCCCTGTCTCTCATTCTGACCAGCATTTCTGGGCTTCTGCTACTTTCTCCAACAATCCAGTGGATGCCTTTGGATAACAGCTAATGTTGTCTAGGATCTTGCTTTCAGATGTGTCAGGACTTCAGACTGAGGCACCTGGGTGGCTCAGTCAGTTAAGCATCTGACTCTTGATTGGGACTCAGGTCGTGATCCCAGGGTCATGAGATGGAACCCTGAATTGGGCTTCACACTGGGTGGTGTGGAGCCTGCTTAAGATTCTCTCTCTCTCCTCTTCCCCCTTCCCGCCCTTCCCTGCTGGTGCACACACATAGGCTCTCTCTCACTCTCAAAAAAAAAAAAAAAAAAAAAAAAAAAAAAAAAAAAAATTCGGATTAACCTCTGGGAGCAAAACGTAGTCTAACAAATAGTACTTCTTTTAGTGTCAATAACTGTACCCCCTTAATCCTTTAAGATGCCTTAAGGAAATAACATGGCATAAATAAGTAATAATATTCTCTTTTAAATTATAAATTCCCAAAGAGAACTTTATTAAAAAAAGACAACTAGAAGCTAAATGCAGTTATGCATGTACACAGCGGGCCATAACACCCACATACATCCATCAGACGCCGGCTAGCCCACCATTTCTAGACAGATCAGGTTCTGTAACATGAGCGAGTTCCTGGTCCTCACACAGTAGATGGCTCTGAGTATGGAGCACACCTACTGCTGACCCCCTCCTTGCACAGAGAAGACAGGGTGAGTTCAGATTTTTTCAAAGGACAAAAACCTATTATACAATGTACATAGCCCTACATTATACTTGGATGCTGGAGAATGAGACTGAATTTCCTAATAAAGTCAGCGTTTTCAAGGAATGTTTCTTAGCAAGGGACAGAGTTTCACTTAAGCTAAAACAGGATCATCTTTCACAATAATGAACCAATAGAACCTAACTGAATTAACTTGGGAGAAGCCAATGCCTCATGATGGATATTAGCTTAAGCCAGCTAGCAAATCATTCAGTGTATTCTCTTTATCTGGCTGATACAGGCCGACACATTAAGTCAGATGACACGAAGGCCCAGAAGCACTCATTGGGTCTAATAAGATTTCCATTGTTCCCTCTGCTGTCTCAGCAGCTCTAAACGTTTCAGTCACGAACTATTAAATAATGAAGAAACAAATGCTTTCTCTTTTTCTTCTCTTTACTCCTCAGTGTTGAGAGCCTCATCCTTTACCACATTTTCCCCCTCCCCCCTTCAGAAAACCTGAAGATGGGGAGGATTCAGGTTTCACTGCCACACTCAGCCCTCAACCCTGCATCAGCTCAAGGCTCCCGTGAGCTGCCTAAATGGCAGAGGATAGAAATCTGTGTGACGCCATAGTTTAGAACGAGAGAGCTGCCCTGGGAGTAGTGGTAACATTTGAGGAAGGAAACATAACAATACTTTCACAGACGTGAGTCACGTCTCATTTCCTTTACAAATGCAACGTGAGGTCCTGCTATAATCACTGTCCTATTTAATTTTCCACTATTGAATAGAAATACATTGGAAATACAGTTGAGAACAATTTAATAAGTAGGTCACATTCAAATAAAGTTTCTATAGTTCCGACAGATTTTAAGTGAAAAAAATTTTTTTCACGCCAAAATTATTCTTGTAGCAATAATTCACTGAGGGCTTGCTGTGTATGGATGAGCCTTTGACTGGTGTGTACATGTGGGATGTGAAAGATGTTGACACGTTTGGGGAAGTTTGGAGGAGCAGATAATGAATAATGTTGATTTCTTGAATAGTTGGGCGATGTTTGGATTTTGATATGAAACAAATTAGAAAGTCGACGTGGATTTTCCAGAGGACTATAACACAATGGCAGCAGTGGTTGGAGATGATTTTGGCAACAGTAGGGGAGAAACAGGAGTGGAAAATGGTGTTGTCCTAAATGCTGTCTTTCTTCTTCGTCACGGGAAACTAGAAATGATAGAGCTAGAAGACTCTTGAAGGTACCCAAGTGTGAGCTAATAGGATCTTGTCAAAGGCAGCTGTAAGCTAAGAAGACTTTTGCCTAGAGATCAGTGAGAACTTCGAAGAAACAAATTAAAGCAGAATCCTGAAGACCGTAGGAGAGAATATAAACCAAACCCAAAACGGTCTCTTTAAAGATATTGGCGTTTTAGAAAATGTTTGCCTTTTGTGACTGTGTCATTTCCTGTCGCGATTTGCATACTTGAGTCTTTGATGCCACCAGAGTTCCTATCTGTATTCAGCAAGTACCAGAATCACTGTGTGACATATGGCAGGTGCTGGGCATGCGGAGCCCTCTAATGGCACCCAGCCTGGAAGAGGCGCAAAGATCCAGAGCAGCGCCAACCACACGAGGCCAGTGTGTACTGTACAAGGGAGCCTCCCAAGTTCAGAAGGGAAATCTCAGAAAGGCTTCACCGAGAGCAGGCAAAACATCCCTGGAAGGGAAAAGCCTAAGCAGGTTTGGACAGGCAGATGGGGTGGGAATGCCGTACGTCTTTACGGTGTGTAAACGGTGGGCTGTTAGACCCCGTGGCATGAGGAAACCCAGTTAGAAAGTGTGCAGCCAGGTTTGGGGGCACTGTTTTGACAGATGAAGACTGAATATCCTTTTGTAATCCAAGCCCAGTATTCTCAGTTGAAGTCAAGTCCAGTTCCAAATGCAGCGATTCCGTTTGCACCCAAGGGTGCACTCTGCTTTCATCCCAGTAGGCATACTTCAGAAACACCCTAACTGACCCTTCCACCCATACATTTTCTGCTCTGCCTTCCAGCATATGATTGCAGACACTGTCCGGACCCTGAGGCACTGCAGGACTAACCAGTTTGGTGAGTAATTGAAGTTGGCCAGGGAATGTAAATTCACTCTACATTGGTACAGACTGTGACCTTATCACAAGTATTTGGGGGTAAGAAACTGAAACAGATTATAAAGTCTTATATGCATTTACTATATTCTTTCTTAGCTTCACTGCATATTTGGGATGCAAAGGAAAACAAGATATGGCGTTTTTTTTTATCCTCTCTTGGCAGCAAGTTTACACTGTACAGAGTGACTTGAGATGAGCAGAGCCCCCCGCCCCCACACCCCTGAGCCTGAAAGTCTGTTTGCTTGCCCCTTGGCTCAGAATTACCAGTGGGTTTATCAGGGGTGACCCTGTCCCTAAACTTCTTGCTTAGAGCCTTCCTGGAATTGGAATATGGTTTGTAAAAGTGCCTGAAGCAGCCTTCCAGAATCTTTACTCCTCTCCAACAAAAACTTCCTGTCCGGAGCTGCCTTTCACTGAATAGGTATTTTTCTGAGCACTTTTGTGGATTCCCTGCTGAGATTAACATAAGTAGGAATATTTGTTCCTTTTTAAACCTCAGGCATAATTTACACCATGTTTAAATAGCGTTAAAACATTGCAGGAAGGAAGGAAATCAGCTTTATTGAGTCCAAGGAGCATTCACACGGGCAGTGGCATCCTGATACCAGTATTGGTGACTGGTGCATGGAGATCATTAACCCTGTGGTGCAGAGCGGAAAACTGAGACTCAGAGAGTTAACCCATTCAGCCATTATTCAGACCAAGCCTGCCTGACTTCCTGACCCATACTCTTTTCTTTGCCTTGTGCAGATTCTATAGATATAAAGGGCAGTAAAGAAAAAAAAAAATAGAAAGTTGAGTTCAGTAATTATAAATCAATCAAAGCTGACCACTAAATAAAACTTGCTTTATATATCCTCCTTGTAAAATAATTTTTTCAACAATATGGAAGTATGTATAAAGTACAAAGATCAAAGTCCTACTCCCTAAGGATTAGTGCATATTCTTAAGAAAGTTTTTTCTGTTTGGCTAGTTTTGGCTGGCAGTATTGTCCCCTACAGAGCAACGGAACTTCTGTATGAATTACAAAGTTTGTGCTTGAAAGGGAGAGTTATAAATACGGGACCTAAGTTTTTTTTTTTAATGTTTATTTATTTTGAGAGAGAGAGAGAGGGAGAGCATGAACACGGGAGGGACAGAGAATCCCAAGCAGGTTCCATGTCATCAGAGCAGAGCCCTGTGAGTGGCTCAGTCTCAAGAACCATGAGATCATGACCTGAGCCAAAATCAAGAATCAGACACTCAACCAACTGAACCACGCAGGCATCCCAGGACCTAAGGTTTTAAATATTTACATCACTTACTACCACCTGATATGTGCTTATGTATTTCTCCATTAGGAACACAAGTACAGTGCGCTTATAGTAGAAACAGTGATAATATTGTCACGGAGATTCATTCAGATGTGCAAGCATAATGCTCCTGAGTATTGGGTTCATATTTCTCTCATCCACCTTTGCTTCCCAAGTATTTATGCACACTCACCCGATTCTAAGATATTGGTCTCACTGACCAGGAGACTCTGCAAGTGTGGACAGGAAGGTTATACTGGCCTGGTGGCCTTAACACTGTCTTGAACCTCTCATCACTAGAGAGTAAGTCCT